GGAGATACGGTCGCACGTCTTAGTTCACACTGCTCGATTCTCGTATGATCGCGTGATTTCGCCCGATTCTCGTACGAGAATCGAGCAGTGTATGGGCACCTTTACAATTATCTGCAGATTTTCTGTGGTCAGATGGAAAAGGTGCAACAGATTCCTCCATCTACACTTTTTCCATCTGACCACAGAAAATCTGCAGATAATTGTAAGGTGTATGGGCACCTTTAGGAGCAGACCAGCTGCAACAAACATTTTTTTCTTCAGAACTGAAATAATTCCTTATATTGCACACAAAAAAACTAAAAATATTGGCTATACATACACTTTAAAGTTAAGCTGCTGCCAGGTTATGGACACACAATTTACATATTCCAAAAGAAGAAATAAAAGCAGAATCTGGGATTCTGGATAGAAATCTGTTACAGGCCTAAATCCTGGCAAATAAGCAATAATATCAATCGAGAACTTCCTGTGAGGGAATGATAACATCACTTCCCTCAAATGGCAGCACTGCCCTTAATCACTTCATATTACTGTAGAAGATAAGGCATGATGGCACATAGATAATGCAAATAAATTAAAGTACACATGCACAATATTGAGCTTTACATTTCAGAGTATTTTCATGCTGTAAACGGGCTTTAAGACTTCCCTGCCCCCGCCCCAAGTCACCATAACCTCTCCTCTCATTTCAGCATAAGCAGTGATCAAAAGCAGGCTAGGTGAGTATAAAGGTGCCCATACACTGCTCGATTCTTGTACGAGAATCGGGCGAAATCCCGCGATCGTACGAGAATCGAGCAGTGTGAACGAAGACGTGCGACCGTTTCTACTGTACGGTCGCACGTCTTTTGTCGGCGGGTTTCTAGCCTGCTCGTGCGATAGCTGCGGAACGGGCCGGTGTGCGCACGCGCACACTGCCCGTTCTGCATTGCGGTCATCAGAAGCCCGCCCCTCAGCAGGGCGGGCTTTCAATGATCGCAAGTACGATCTGCCCGTCCAAGGTGGGCAGATCGTACGAGCTTTCAATAAGCATACGACCATCGCAAGACAAAAAAGTCTTGCGATGGTCGTAAGGTGTATGGGCACCTTTAGAGACGACACTGTCACTCCACATGGGCAATCGGCCCGCGGCAACTCGCCTTGCACTGCTACTTCTGTCCCAGAGCACAGAATGCGCCAAATTACCTCATAAAAAAGGCACTTCAGTGCTTCTGCTGTGAACAGGACAATTGGACTTCTGCAATACATTAACAGTTCACATTAACCAGCATTTAGACATTAAATTGACGTACCTGGCTTGGGAGATGTGCAGGCCACACAGCTGCTATCTTCTGCTTTATTCTGCACACAACACACTGTACACTCCCATGATCCTATAGGCTTTCTGGCCAGTTCCTCAAATTTAAGACTTGGTGATAAAGTAAGGCCATTGTCAGGTGGTGCAACAAGCATATCCGGCTTTGTTGTAGGAAGAACAAGTAAGGGATCTTTGGCCCCAGTTCCAGGTTTTGGAGATGCACAAGCCACACATTTTGATGACTCGGATTTGTTCTGTACTAAACATGTATCACAATCCCAAGTCCCAGGGGCAGCTTTAAACATGTCCCCAAATCCTTGTACACATTTCAAAGGGGATGTGTTTTTAAAAGCTGTGGTTGGTGCCAAAGTAGTAGGCTGCTTTGTGACCTCCGTAGCTTGGTCTTTCACAGTACTGCAACATACGCATTTACTGTCCGAAGCCTTGTTCTCAACCAAGCAGCAATCACAATACCATATTCCCAAGGCCTGTTTGCTGCTCTGCCCAAACATCAAAGGCTTAGGACTGGAAACTGCACTTTTAGCAGGAGTTGTTCTGGTTTGTTGGGAACTTGTAGACTGGAAACCTATTGAAGGACAAATTAAATGTATTGGCATAAAATCAGCATAGGTTTTAGGATAAAGTTGAGTGGGGAAAAAATATATAAAAATGTAAGGGATTTGTAGAAAAACTATGATCAAGTAAAAAAAAAAGCATTTTACAGGCCAACTGCCTTTAGAACATGTTGTAAATATTTTTTATGTAAACAAAAATGTAAATGCCTATTTTAGAAAGTTTGCACAAAATGAAGAAAACAAAAACGTGGGTATCAAAAAGGTCAAGTCCTCAATATAACAGCCACTGCTGTTTGTCACAATATAAGATAACCTAGACCCCATCACCACTTACAGTGGAATTTCATAATACAATGCTGTTAGGCCAGCTAAATACACAAACACACACACACGTTTATCTTAAAGGATTTGTAATTCTGTACTGCCAGCGTGTGATCCAGGTACCCAAAATACAAATCATAGGTTGATGGCCTTAATTTTCTCAACAGTAAAGCAATGCAGCCTGGTCACTGATCAAACACCAGCCTGCAACTAGTGCAACAATGATAGGCAAATCACTAGGACAATGTCATCATACTGAGCAGCATATAAGAGTTAGACCGATACTAAGCAAAGCCATAGAGCCTCCCTAACTTGCAGTGATGTACTGGCACATCTTGCTATGCTGGTGATTACAGGAAGTTCATATAAAAAGGACATATGCAGGTACTTATGCTGAATGAATGTAAAACACATTTTAAAAGGAGAACCATAATTGTTTTAGTTAATTGGATTTTATTTATTGCATTTTATTTTTTGAAACATTTGCAAAGTTGAAATTTGTTTTTCAATGTTTAATTTACAAACTCTTTACAGGGTGCATGCATACACTGCATGCTGGCCTTTGAAGTAAGAAAGCTCAACACTGCCTGTATGCTTTTTCACTGTTAGCACAGTCTGTACGACAATGGCATCTACTAGAAGAAAGAGGTACGTTACCCCTCTGACTTGTTGAGGTGCATTTTGTTCCTCGTAAAATTCCTGCAAGTGGTAGATAAATATAAAAGATTCCTTATGCACTTTGCTGTGATTATAATAAAATGTTTTACATTTAATAACCAACCTAAAACAAAACTGAAAACCCACTCCCTTCCATTAGTTCATAACTACATTAAAAATTGTGTGCCTAAACAGTCAGCTTTACTGCAAATTGACTACTACAGACTTATTTCATACAGCTGTGTTTTCCTTCTAAACCAACAGTAATGTCATAAATGGCATTCGTGGGCGAAAGCAATGTGTAGAGAACTAGATGTTCTTTTGATCCAACAATGAGAGCTGAAGGCAGGCTAAATAAAGAAATACATGTGTTATAAAAAGGCTTGCGTTTAATATTCAGCTTGGCCTTAGAAAATATTTCTCCCAATCAAAAGAGATGCCAAGAGGTCTCTGCTTAACAAAGCTAAATAAATGATGTACCCCAAAAGGTATAGCAACGCAAGGGTTAGCCTTTAAAGATGTTCTCAGCTAGTGGCATTTGTATTCCAGGGGTTACATCTAACAGGATAGGAAGGTACTAGTGTTTGTTAAAGTAACGTTCCATAGAGTAGTGGCTGTCTGCCACAGTTCTGGGAGGAAGGGGGAAGAATGCCTTACATTTGAACCCTGGCCCATTGCAAAGGCAATATTTTAATCTTGCCTAACAATGGGAAATTACCGTGTCAATTTTACTGCTCACCTTCCAAGACAAAAGCAAATATCAATGATTATTGAAAGCATGGGCTAAATAACACCCTGAAGCCACCTGTATGGCTATGCCATTATTCATTTTGTAAAAGACTATAAGAAACAAAAACAAAAAAACAGTAGTTCCCATATGCGAGTTGAAGGGCAAGTTGCATTTTAGAAGTTGCTTTCGTTTACATGCCTAACCGCTGTGCGATTTAAAAAAAAAAAAAAAAAAAAAAAAAGCATTAACTGATCTGGTGTAAAGAAATTGAAACGCACTAAATCAAATTTAGAGTGGGCCTAAACTTAGAACGTGCTATGTTACAGGGAACGTTTGCGTTACCAGTACCCTAAAAAAAATACACCTCATCTGCAAATTCCTCCTGAAAAAATAGCAGTGCACTTCCTGGTATCTGATGGTGCCTTTGCCCTCCTGTGTCTACAGCTTCATAGCTGTATAACTGGAGTGAGATCTTAGGCACTGCTGCTTGCTGGTCTCAGGAAAATGGAGTAAGATTTGGCACTACTGTACTGCTCCCTGCTTTTGCTGGAGAGTCTGACATGAGGAGGCAAAACCCTGTTAACTATCAAGATAGCCACCTCAATACAGGCACAGTGCAGAACAAGGCATGGTAAGTCAGTAAGGAGGAAAGATCAGCTGCAGAAAGACCACAAGCAATACTGCTGACTAGTTATTTGCCCTCCACCTGCCTTAAAGCACGGCTACCCGAGTTCAGCTCCTGACTAGAAGTTGAAATAAAATGTGAGATGCATTAAGCAGGAAAGATAAAAAGGGAGGAGACATTTGGTTTGGAGTGGGAAGGAAAGCACTAGAACTCCACTACCCAAATAATGCATTGGCCATGGAAATCTCTTCTGACAAAGTCCGTTTAGGTTAAGTAAACTACCGCTGAATGGGTATACGGAAGTTTGCTTTTGCTAGTGCTTGGCACAGGTTACATGTTATTCTGAGTGTGTATGTAGATGACAGTTCTATTTGTTGCTGTACAGTTTTATTACTGATCATAACACCTTTTCTTTTGGAAAAAGAAAAGAAAAAAAAACTGCAAACATTAGATACCTTCTCTAGCCCTAGATGCCTGTGACCCACCATAGAAATACAAATATGCAGATTCTAAAAGAACTACTTCTCCATCCTCACAAACATCGGATTTGCTTACCTGGGCTCCGCAGAATATCCAGCACACTTCCTTCTTTTAATGATTGTGCTGGTTTACAGACTACTTCTTCCTCAGCCTTCTTTGCACTGCTACTATTCATCAATATGGGTGCTTTCACTTTTAATGTAATTTCTGAAAAAGCAAGACCAAATAAAAAAAAGATTTTGAATATATATTTAAACATACATGTAAGCACATTTTGCAACCTCCGTCCATCCTGATTTTACAAAGAAACATTTTAGGAACCAAACGGATGACAAATTTGTAGCCAAAAAATGTAGGCTGTGAAAATACTACGGTGTCCTCACTGAAAATTTTCAACGCAGTCACAGGCTGAAGCAAGCACTGGGCAAAAACATTCTGCCTGGAGATGGGCTTTGGCAGCTAAAAAAGGCATACCAGGCCCAGTTAAAACACACAATAGTTTCTTCTTTTCAAAGAACAGGCTAGACTTCAAACCTGTCTGTTTATCGTAATTACATAAGGGATAAGGCTATTAGTAGTTTACTGAAGAATGGTAAAATTGGGTACGATTCCAGCTCAACTACCAGGAAGTTAGGACAATGCATTTCTGGCAACAGGTATCTGTACTTGCTGAAACGCTCCTGAAAATAGAAAAAAAAAAAACATCTTACGCAGCCACCACATCTAAGGATTGGTAAACTGCAATATGCTACATCTTTATTTTTGGGTTTAATTATTATTTAACCAATCTGAACGTAGATTGCCTGTGCATTGACTTTAATTTCCGATCGCAGCTCTAAAGGAGGAAGAAGGTCATTTGCATCCAGCAAAAAAATAAAACAGCCATACATTTCTTGATATGCTTACCAGTATTGTTCAGCATGGATTTTGTATTTTCATGTGGTAAAGTGGTCTTTAAAGCTGGCGCTCTAAAGGTAAAACCCACCTATGAACCAAAAACAGTATTAAAATGGGACATAAAATATGAAACTTTGACTGACAGTGTTGTCAAGAGGGTCAAGATTAGCAGTGTTTTAATTAAAGTTACATTAAAGTCAAAAGGATTTTAAGCTATTTCAAATGCTGATGAAATCCCTTACAATGAATGCTGCTCCTTGATGTTTAAAAGTTTGTTTCCTGCAAAATGAGCTAGTCCCCTGATCACTGGTCCTGGTATTCTGTTTTAGAGTGACTCCTTTCTCAAACAGAGTGCTATACAGTAGGGCTGTAACCAACTAATCGATAATCATCGCCCTCAACGTTTCTCGTTATCGATTAGTTTGTGTGGAACCCATAGTTCTCTACTCCGAGCTGGGGTTTCATCTGCTCTGTGTCCCCTCCGAACCCCACTGCGCCCATCGGGGATCGGAGGGGACACAGACCCCTGCAGCTGGTGCCCAGCAGTAAGGAGAGCTGCCCCAACCGCCCCCCCCCATCAGCTGCATGCCGAAGTCTGTGTCCCCTCCAATCCGCGCTGATATCCCCCTGACTGTAATGTTTAAATATTTGCTGTTCGCTCCCTGTAATATTCAAACATCGCAGTGATCAGTACTGATCACTATGATGTTTGTAAATAATTGTGCAGAATCAGAGTTGGATGGTTCCTGGACTGTGGAGTCTAAGTCTGGAAGCAGAGTATTTGGAAGCTTTTCTTGAGGAAGAAAAACTTTGGTTTGAGACATGTCTAGGAGATGAACCTGATACTTCAAGCGATGAGTCTGTTCCAAAACTGATTTCTGAAGGTTCAGGATTCAAGTGAACCTAAGATCTGGACTGTCCACATTACACTGAGGGTCAGAGTCTGAATTGACTGTTCCCTCAATAGGTGGTCATCTAGGTGGTGGTCACAACGGGAATACCCTTTAAGCATAGCTAGGCTATGCTCAAGCATCGGGCTAGGCATCGGAGCATTTGGGCGTGTAAGAGTACTCGCCCAAATACTCGGCATCGATAGTAGTATCAGTACATCCCTAATTTTAAAATAAATGTAAGCATAACATAGCATAATGAGTTACAATTCTGTAGGGCAGTACTGTGGGGTATGCATTATATAAAAACACTAGTATATGGCAGGACAGTGGAGGAAAGTACAATTAATGCAGAGTGCAGCGCAGCATCGTAGGGCAACATACAGTGTAGGGCAGTAAAGCATTGAGAGATAGCTTTCTTTTGATTAAATTGCTGGGTTTACTTGTTTTTACTATAAAAAAAGGGGGGGGGGACTTTTGCCACAATTTTTTTGGGGAATGAATAAGCATGCTGGTATTTCGAGCGTTGGAAATGAGTGCACTGGATACCTTATTGTACTGGTCATACGGTAGTGAAGGGATTAATGAGCAGATCATACACAGTGGCAAGATGAAAATGGAGGGGTTAATGTGCAGGATAAGGGTGGGGAAGAGTTAGTATATAGGTCACAGAGAGAAAGGTTGGGGATAAGATGTGTAGGAGAGGAAGAGGTGTGTGTGTGTGTGTGTGTGTGTGTGTGTGTGTGAAAATATCTCACTGTGGAAATGAATGAATCATAGCAAATCACAAGTTAACAAGCCAGCAGAATGGGCACACAGCGATTAGCGGGTGGATTGACCACCCGCAGGTAACAGTCCCCTCATTCATTCCTGTAGCTAAACTGGCATTAAACAAGGTTACACTTCAAAACTGTATCAAAGGTATCACTTATCAATTGCACAGTACTTCAAATATGTTTTTTTAAAGCGGTCTCTCTCTAAATATCTGCATCTCTATCTAAATATCTGTATCTAGCTCTTATCAAAGAAGTCTATAGTACTATAACAGCCATTGCCTTTATTAATTTTATTGATCTATTAGTTCATTTTAAATTTCTTCTTGAGCCTTATTTAAGCAGTATTTTAATCCAATTTTTTATTTTATGCATGTAGCATATCAATTTAATAATCCATTCGGATCAAAATGCATTTATTTTGGTGTGTATGTTGTGATTGGGAATCAATTTTTTTTTCATCAATATAATTTTTGGGCCAACACACATTTCTTAATCAACATTGTGCCAAAAATGACAGCGGATCCATTTTGCCCCACGAGCGGCTAAAGGTAGGGAATACTGTGCATGACCACACGCTTGAAGGCAATCAACTCAGAAATGCACTGCAATTTTTACGGACTTTGAAGTTGGAGGTGAAAGGACACAACCTCTCAACAGCGGGACGCCACAAAGTTACAGTGGGTCCAGCTCCTGATGTCGATCCCAGCATGGTAAGCAGGTCTCCCCATGGTACAGAAGTTTGCTTCTTTGGGGCACAGGTAAATGGATTCAAATCTTACATACTTTTGAGTGCACTTTATATACACCTTTATTTACATGTTCGTTTAGGTTTCATTAATGATGGCGGCGGCTGTTCCAGCCACTTTTTGGAGCTGCAAGACCTGTGTTGTATTTTATTTTCAACTGAAGTGGATTTCCATCACATATATTTGAACTGCAAGTTATGGTTTTACTGCTTTTACAGTTTTATTTGAGACATTTGCACATACAATGATTTTCTGATGCTTCTGTACTACAACATGCTCCAATGCATTAAACCACCATTATAGCACATTTCACAGATGTAACTAACATCATTAAGCAAAACAGCTAACCTTTGTATGACAGGCATTCATATTTGTCATTGTTGTCCTTTATTAAAATCACACAAAATTGTTACCAGCATGCAAACAGCTTTCCAGTAGAAACTGTTCTGTCCTATATGGTTGGTTCACATCTTTGCATTGTGGTTCTGTGTGTTTGTAAAGGGAAAACAGAAAGGCCCATTCAAATCTATTAATGTATGTTCCTTGCCTCTCTAGATATTTGCCCGATAGTTCTGACCTACATAAGTGTACTTTAAATGAATTCTTATTTATTGGTTCCTTAGCAAGATGAGCAGCCTTGCTGATTCACTGTAAAACACTGGAGATGGCTTGTTGAAAGTCTATGGTGACGCAGACATTCACATAACAGACATTCCAGGGAACTCCCAAGGCTCTGTTTGTTAGGACCTTCTTTTACAGTGCAGTTACTCTATTCAGGCTTGCCAACACCAGCGGCGTTGGGTAGCAAGTCCCAACACATAAACAAGGCAGTTTGCCCATTTCACACAAACATGCTGAACTTATCTGGTGCTTATGCTTACTGGAGATGTAGTTGGCTCTTCACTGGGGCGGATAGCTTTCACAACTGGCTGTGAGAAGTTAAAGCCCGTAGCATCAGTAGAAGTGGTAAACTATATATATATATAAAAAAAAGAAAGAGCAGAGAAACATTACAATTATGATTGCAGTTATGATCAAAACTAATTTAAAAGCCATGCCATTCACTTTGATTTCATTTTAATAAAACACTTATTAAATATGGGATACGTCACAAAAAACAAAAACGTAGTATTGCAGTGTGCAATGATACCTTTCTTATTGGACTAACAAAATATATAAAAGACAAGCTTTCCAAAGTGAACCTCTCTTCTTCAGGTCAGAAGCAATACTGATCAACATGACAGTTTGTCAGTTAAGGCAAGAGAAAGCGGTTAGAGGGGGGGTGTCATAAATGTTGGACCTGGGAGTAAAGAAAGCAGCCTCGGCTCCAGAAAAAGACTGCATGCTCGATCACATGCTGTGTGCCTTGCGGGAGGGACACCGGGGCATGCCCAAATCCAAGTAGTCAAACCCCATAGAGTAATATGTAGTAATAAGCCCCAGTGGTATCCACCAGCTGTATTACAGGTTTTGATAATTGTTTTACAGGACTGTTAGATGTGCCCAAAGAATGCTCTCCTCTCTACCAAAGAGGGTTTGCATGACCATATAAGCTTATTTACAAAACAAAAGGCAGAATTACTGACTGACTTTTCAGCAATGTTCACCTTCTCGCTTGCCTTACAGTAACACTAAACATAGGAGTTAACACTTAAAAATGCATTCAAGTAGCTTGACTATTACCTAAAATGTATCTTATTTGTGAATCATTCAGCTCTAGACCCTCAAATCTCTGAATTGGTGCTGACACTGTCCTTCCCTCTGGAGGGTGGCTACTTTTGTTCCCCATGGTCCGTGTGTGTGTGTTGTAAAGTAGTTATTCACTCCATGCTCGCTCCCATGATGGACTATAACTTCAATACAAATAAGTAAATTAAACATGAGATTGTAGTCCATAACAGAAGCGAGCTTGGAGTGATTACTACTTTATAAACACAGGGGCCATGGGGAACAAAAGTAGCCACCCGCCAGAAGGAAGGACAGTGTCGGCACATATTCAGAGATGATTTGACGATCTTCAGCAGAGTGATACACAAATAAGATACATTTTTATTAATAGTTAAAGGTACTTTAAAGTAATTTTAAGATTTTACTCCTGCGTTTAGTATCACTTTAAAGAAGTTGAAGGCTTATATTTCTCAAGTCAAAGAAAAAATGACAAATTTTAATACATCTTAGCAATCCCCAGTTTTCACCAGAGTGGCTATTTACCTTAGTAGAAACTGGTTGTCTCACAGGAAGTGGTGAAGTCTTCTGTTCCATGTTTAAACTAAATTTTGGAAGTGCAGTCATACTTATTGGCAAGGGTACTGCAGGTAGAATGGGAACCTCTACCTCCTGTAAAGTGGAGAGAATTGTCAAAGTATTGCTTCACAGTCAGTTACCTAAAAACCATACAAGAAAAAGGAAGGTGAGAGGGTGAAAACATTACCTCGGATGGCTTTGTTGACCCACGCTCCCTCATCATTTTGCCTCCACCTCTTCCTGAAGCAAAGCCATTTGATGCAGGGGTACTGAAGGTGGGGTAGGATAAGCTGTTTGAAAGAATTACAAAACTTAAAGATCAGAAATTACAACCATGCAAAACTACATTTATATATTATACAGGATTCATATAGCGCCAACAGTTTGTGCAGCGCTTTACAATATAAGGAAGACATTAGAATCACAATACAATTCAAAACAAGATGGTAAGGAGGGCTTACAATCTAAAATATTCCCATTTACAATTGACTTATGAGCAGAAAGATTTGCCAGGATAATGACACGCAGCATTCAAAACACAACACTAAGTGATAAAGCACTGTAAATATTTACAATCAAAAATTAGGAATCCATGCCGACAGCTTTATGGTCAACCCATAAGTGCAGCTTAAAGAGAAATCGCATTACAGAAGAAATGTCACTCAAACAGGTTAGATGAGAAAACAACATGAGCTTAACAGGATACCAACCTAGTTTGCTGAAGTGGGGTAGCAGGTTCATAATTCCCTTTAGCCTATTCAAAAAAACAAAAAAAACGCAATGAATAATAGACAGACAGACACACTCTAAGCCTGTCACAACCTAGGCAAGCCCCATAATGTGTCTACTTTTTATTATGCATTGTTTCTCCATTGGCAGGATGTGCTGGCAATATCCAGAACTTCAATGTATGCTGTCATTGCCAAAATATTTTTCTGAAAATGATAGCTACGTGACAGCAATGTTGATTGTTTAGCTTCCATACTTTGAGTTAATGATGCAGAACAAGTATGGTCATCAGAAAATCTGACTGCCACTTCTGACTGGGCAGTGACTTCAGGTATTGACACCAGAGATTGCTAGGTGACTAGAAATATCAGTAATAGAAGTAGAACATTCTCTTTGTTTCATGTGGTGGAATAGAGTGGAGGAACAGCAAATGGAAGGAGAGGATAAGCAGGGGGCAGGCATTTAAGGGAACCTGATGCTTTGCCCTGCAGGGGCAGACCACAGGCGCACACCTTAAACACCACAAACTCAAGTCTGTGAATAGGTAACTTACTTTGTGCTTATCAGAACTTTGAGTTCTGCAACTGCTTGCATTGCTCAGCGTGGATGAAAGGGAAGGTCTTATTTTCCTCAGGCTAGAGGGTACAGAAATAGACTGTGGTGTAACCAGCTTCTGTACTGGGGGAAGTGATGAATCCACCTAGGGTATAGAAAAGATGAGGTTTTACATAATGACATTTGCTGCAATAAGAAAACAAGCATGCAAATAGAGTAAAATGGAACCAATCTGATTTAGGAGGGTGTGGCACACAGAAAGCAGATTTTAGTTTGTTTCACAGTGTAGATTACATGTCTGGAAGTTACCGTATATACTCGAGTATAAGCCGTCCCGAATATAAGCCGAGGTACCTAATTTTAGCAAAAAAAACTGGGAAAAAGTATTGACCCGAATAATATAGAAAAACCACTACTGCTTAAGTCCTGCATAAAACTAGTCTAAAAAGTAGTTCAAAATCAATATAAAACAGAGCCAATAGGGAGCAAATAGAGCTGACAACGTAACAAGATTCAGTTTTCTATAAAGAAAAAAAAAACTCCCAAGAGCCATGAGCACAGGGTCCACTTTTGCCCAAGTTCGAACATCAGACCCAATGGTCTCCATAATGTTAACTGTTGCTGAACCGAGCTAGGCATAGCATCATTCAAAAAGAGCTTTACAATCAGAAAGAATATGCTGCAGTATGTAAAAATGGTGCAATTATTAATATTTTAGGAATGTAAACCTGCATTGAGACATGAGGAGACTAAAACTAAACACATACAGTATATAACAACAAGTGTCCCAAGTACGTTGCACAAGCTCTCAGATCAGCCTTATATAAGACAATGTTTCCCTTTCACCCAGCGACATCTGGAAACACATGCTGCACAGGGCAAGCTTTAGGTCACGCATCAACTACCATGTGTTATGAAGGACAAAATGAACACATTTAGAGCCTTCACAATTTACTGGCTACAAGTTATAAACACAAAGGCCCGAAGCACATGGGCAATATGTCATATTCTTCTACAAGTGGATTCAATTCAGCGAGCATTTCAAGATTCTTGAAGCAGCAGCAACAACAGCAGATGTCTCCAACAAAGTCTGAAGCAGGGAACAAGGGGGAAGCCACCGAGTTATATTCTGTATTAAAAATATTCACAACAGTCTGGATGATGTCAAAAGGAAAACTCACATAATACAATTTTCTTGATGTTGCAAGTTTACGTGCCTCTGGTTAAAACATCTTAGTAACTGGTCTATGAAAATATGATTGCATGAGTTCTTTGTTAAAAACGAACTACAGGCAAATGGCTAAATACAGACAAAATAAATATACAGGAACTTTACCTGCAAAAAAAGATTTTTTATATGTCCATCCAGTTGTGAGATTTACACAGCTCTACAACAAAGCACTGTCTAGCTTTCTAACCTAATTTTTCTCCGTTAAGTAACACTTAAATGTTTGCATTTGAGTGTGGATATTTGACCAACCTCCCCAGATTTTTAAATTCAACAAGTAATGCACTCATACCTTCTTTCTTTTAGATGAACTTTCTCCTGAGAAACTTCTCTCTGCTGCCTGTAAAACAAGACCAAAATTAAAGCATCTACTGCTGTAATTATTTTGGGTAGTTGTTAAGAATTAAAACCCCGTCAGGCTTGAGGGCTAGTTCACACCAGCCCCAGTGCGTTTCGGCACGATTCGGGGGCCGGAAGGCACTGGATCGCATTCCGGTCAGTTCGCTGTGTTCTGGGCCAGGAGAAGGCATGGCAGTGCACAGTCTGACGTTGGGGCGTATCTGCTGGGATGTCCACTCCTGGGGAAAACTGAATCTTGGATGTTTTCCACTTGTGAATACAGTGGTACCATAAAAATTGATGCACTTGTCAAAAAATGGTGCTGCCTTTATTTAAGCTTAAACCTCCGTGACTGCTAAGTGTCCAAGGAGTTAATTTGATCACAGTATTCTGAATTGGCCACATAGAAGGTAAAATACTAATAGTAAGTGGTAATATTGGTATACAGTCAGGATAAAGCAAGAAAAATTGTCACCACACCAATAAATGTACTCACCGATGGCGAAACAAAAGGAACGGAAGGTATTCTCTTAGCATCCTGCAATGAGAAAAATGAAAAATTGTTAATTACCTTTTACTTTGCATCGCTCTCAATTCTACCTCCAACTCCAATTAACCCTTGTGGCACACATCTATTAAAAATCTGACCAATGGATAGACCCAAATATCAAGGAAAACACCCTATGAAATAGATGCTCCTTGGGTTGTGGTTGATCAAGTTACAATCTTTCGCATTTACGATGGCTTCTACTGTACAGTAAACTCCTAGTTATTCGGCACCCACTGGGAACAGTAAGTGCAGGATAATTGTAGTATCTGGTTGCTTGAAAGTGAATAGTAACTCTCAAGCAACCATCCATGAAGCACCCCATTTCCCCACCGGCATACTTCTGCAGCGACAGATGAATGGAAGAAGCCAGGAGCAATAGCCAGACTGCTATTGGCCATTTCAAATTGCACCCGCCCACTGAATACAGGAGCAGACCCAAGAACTTTCTCTCTCAGGTCCACTCCTCCTCTTAGTAGGCAGAGTTTCAATAGTGAGCCTGCTATTGCAATTTGAAATAGCCAATAGCAATCTGGGTATTGCTCCCCCTTGTGAACTTTCTGCTGCCAACCGTGGCAGTACATTATACGCCACTGTTTACGAAACGTTCACCTTAGATGGGTTTATCAGAACGTAACCACATCGTAGACAGCGCAGTCTCTGTATTTCAGAGCACAAAATGTTTATGATACTTTTAATTAGGGATGCACCGATACCGGTTTTTCAATATCGAGTGCCGATCTTTATATTTCCATATTCGGAGCCGGCTTTCCAGGCAAACAGGAATTACCCACAGCCCAGCTTCTTGACTGGTCAGGAAGCTGGTTCCATGTTCCCTCGTGTCACTGCCAGCGAGAGAAAATCTACCTCTGACCGGTAGTTCTGGTATCGGGGAGGGTATCTGAGCATTTGGGAGAGTACTCAGTATCTGCACCTATACTAGTAGTTGAGCATCCCTACTTTTAATGAAAACAATAGTTATGATCCACCTTTTTACATACTGCACAACCTCATGTTTGAATACCTGTTTAAACACAACGTATATTGTTCTACCATATAAAAAAATAAAATCTAAAAGTGTGTAGTTAAAAAAAAAATATATATAGGGCTCGAAAAATCCACTCGTCTGCGACGAGCAGACTTTAATCACTGATAACACTAAACTGATCAGTAAAAGTGTTTTAATCGTCACCTATGGGCATTTTTTCACGATTTTTTGCGGGCGCAATTTAAGGCTTGACATGTTTGGTGAGAGACACTATCAAATTTTTCAAGCCCTGTGTATGTATGTATATATAAATGAATGAGGATACTCACCGCCAATGGACTTGACATTTTCTCTAAAGATTGCAGGATGCGGCGCGCAGCTAGACTTGTTACACCATATGTAGCATGTGCAGGTTTTGCTACAACTTGTTTTTTCACTGGTACCTACAAAAAAAAGTTTAAATTAGAAAACGCGCGTGTGAATACTGGGTGACTTTTTTATGTGACCATAATTTCAGTGTAAAACTATCTACAGGCAAAAAAGACATTTTGCCCAGTTTCAGTTACCCCAACCTTGTACAGTAATCTAACAGATATCCGCCACCCATAGGGATCTGTAGATGCCAGATAACTGTAGTTTCTGGTTGCTTGAGAGTTAATAGTAACTCTCAGGTCTGCCCCTCTGCTCAGTGGGCGGATGCAATCGCCAGCTTTCTATTGCAATTTGAAAAAGCCAATAGCAGGCTGGCTAGTGAAACCCGCCCACTGAGCAGAGGAGCGGACCCAAGAGAGAACATTATCTCAGGTCCACCGCTCTGCTCAGTGGGCGGGTTTCAGTAGCCAGCATACTATTGCAATTTGAAATGGCCAACAGGCTGGCTATTGTTTCCCGTTGCTTACATTCTGCTGCTGACCGCGGAATCTAGCCACTGGCCAGCAGCAAGATGTAAACAAAGAATTTAGTTAGCAACTATTTGTTAGCAGCAAGCCACCGGCCAAAAAAAAAAAAAGGGGGGGGGGGTTTTGCCCCAAATGTACTCTATTTTTTTTACCGATTGCTTGAATGCCGGATAGTGGGGAGTTTACTGGATTTGTATTAGACCTGCCAAAGCTATACTTAAAAATGAGACCGCATACAAGCAAAAAAGGCAAGCCTATAGCATAAATAAATATTTTTCCCTTACAGTTATGTTACTGGATAGCTTCCGAATATTTGTAAACAACTGTAATGTGCAGGTCTGTCCTTAAGCAGGGCTAGACATACCTGTAGTTATTCTGAAATACTGCGAATATGATACACAAACACACACAACGTTCCAGAATACAGCTCAGCTTTAAAATGAGTTCTAGCATGCTAGCACATTAACAAGCAGACGACAGGTGTTCAGTGATATCATGTCATGCTGAATCACTTGGTAAACTAAAAACTAGCACAAGACACTTAGTACAGCATTTAATATTGCCACATAAAAAGGTGCCTATAATTCTACAAGTACCTCCCTGTTTACACCAATTCTTAGACTTTGTGATGGGGACATGGCAGGGATGATCTGGCTGCAGAAAGGACATGAAGTGTATGATGTCAACTCCAAAAAAGCCAGCAAAGCAAATAAGAAATTTACCCGGTATGGAGTGCTTCGGACCCTGGATTGACAAGCTGCAGATGCACCTCCGTAGGTTGTCTTGCCTGGGTAAAAGGGGGAATCCCCAAGCCGACTTGAATTCTTGTCAAGAGATTAGATGGAAAACAGGTGAATGAAATAAAAGGACAGTTTAGAAACGTTATTAAAAGATAAACAAAAATAGCAGTACTACATTAAAAAAAAAAAAAAGGGCAAATAATGAAAGGCAGCATTTCAAACATCTTAATTTGCGTTTTGCTTAGAGCCATTGCACTATGCTACTACTTTTCACTTATTTCTGTTTTAGTGAAAATAGAATTCTTAATTGAGATCTACTTTAAAATCTTTCTCCACCTTTGCACAGGTATTTTTAAAAAACATATGCCAGCAATGTGCAGCGAGTGTATATGAAGCTGGCATATGCAGATACTGTATATGAACACAGGAACTTGCATTTGTTGTGAACGTTCCTCTTCATATGCTCATGGAAATGGCCGCCTCTGTGCTGTGCAAGCAATGTGTGTATATTGCAACCGAGCTCTCTCCCCCATTCATTAGTAGTCATATTGGTAATCCCTCCTGGACAGTGTATTGTGGTGTGCAAAGGCAGAGCTGGTGTTAGTGGTCGTGTTACACAGAATCACAGGGAGGGGGGCAGCCTTTTACAAGCTGCTTTAAATCTGATCCTAGCGTCAGACTGAGTTTCCTGTGGAGAAAACACACACACACACACACACACACACACACACACACACACACACACACACACCATGAAGAAAGCCCGCAATGCAGTCATGAAAATGTACAAACTTCATCACTGCACCTCTACATTACCACAATAAATGCTAATCACTTGAAAATGTGGAAATGGACATTAAGTGTATTCCTTTATGCAGTTATTGTACATTTTGTATATATATTTTTATGCAATGGCTTACAAAAAAAAATAAAAAATTTGAAAAATTAGGTTAATTTGATATACTGGATATGAATATTAACTGGGGTGTGGAATGCCTATCGGCCGACACCTGCGTCATGCAGTTTTCTTTGTACATGTCGCTCTGCTTCGGGCAAGCAGAGCTAAACGTACAGTGGATAGGCGCTGCACGTTGTATACAAGTGATCTGATCAGATTACTTGTATCAAACGAGCAGCGATCCTGTCCGGCCCAATCTGACCTTGTGTCTAACATATAAATATATTTTTTATCCATCTACAAACCCTTCCTCTGCTGACTGTTATCACGGTTAGTACTGTTCCTAGTTATCAATTACAGAACATCTTTCCCTCTAGCGGTTAGCACTTCTGTCCTGCAGCACTAGGTGTCCCTGGTTCACATCCCAGTCAGGGCACCATCTTCAAGTGTTTGCATGGGTTTCCTCCTCCAAAGACATGCTGGAAGATTAACTGGCTCCTGTCCAAATTGGCTCTGTATGTTTGAGCGATAGCAACCTAGGATTGTATGCTCCTTGAGGGCAGGGACTTATGTGAATGTGCAGTATTTAAAGTAATAGGTTGGCACTATATAAATACATAAATATAGAATGGAGAGGAGGTAGGTACAGGTGGGATTAACCAGTTGAACATATGGGGGGTGGAGAGCCTGAGCTAAAAACAAATGCAGCCATCACATTTGAGGCCAGATACAGTAACTCCATTAAAAGGTTTTAAAATTAAAAGTAGTAAAGCACTTACGGGTAAAAATGAGGAAAAGGAAGATGGATTAAACGTAGGTTTCTTAGAATTAAAGGACGAGTTTTGTGAAACATCATGTGTCCGCTCAGCTTCAGGAGACCACAATATGGGAGCGTTCCCAGTTCTTGTAATAGCAACATCTGAGAGAAAAAAATATGTTAAGGTAATACTAAAATGTTAGCCACCAAGATTTCATTTTTGAACTTCATTCAAGAACTAATTATCTCAACAATGCAACCACAAGTCCAGTTTCAATTTTAAGGACATAGTGTACTTTCATTAACCATCTCGGTAAAAGAGCAATTTTGTAATGTTTGCACACTCGTACTACAAACTGGATTTTTGTCACGTAAAAGACAGGGAGGCTTCCTCTTTTTGCAGTGCCTAAGGCCCCATTCACACCTATGCATATTGTAACATGCGCGACCGTCGGACGTTTTTTTTACCGCGACTCGCGGTAAAAAAGTTGCGCGACCGTCGCGCGATTCCAAAGGCTACTTGGCAGTATACAAATGGAAAACGCCCTACAAAACAGACCAATACGCAGCAAAAAACGCTCCGGGACCTTTTCATGCGTGGGCCGTTTTGTAGTGCGTTCGGGACGGGCGGAAATACGGACAGGTGGGAACGATACCATTGACTACAATGCTATTTATTTTTTTGACCGTTTGTAGAGCGTTCATCGAGCGTAGGACGCGCTACAAAACGGTCAGGTGTGAATGGGGCCTAAATCAGCGAGTCTGATCTTCACTTCCTGCTAGGAAAACTGTAAAAAAAATTTGAACTCCCCCTCACTTTCTCCAGACTTTTACTTAGGGAAAGCACAGGGGCTCATTAACTGCTTGAAGACCAGGTGTTTATACCCCCTTCCTGGCCAGGCCATTTTTCAGTGTTCAGCGCTGCAGTACTTTGACTGACATTTATTACGTCACGCAACGCTGTACTGAAAATGAATTTTATACCATTTTTTGGGGACAGATAGAGCTTTCTTTTGGTGGTATTTAATCACCACTGCGGGTTTTATTTTTTACTATATTCAGGAGAAATTACTGAAAAAAAAAAGTTTTTTTTTACGTTATAAAACAACTAATATTACCCACTTTTTTGGTAAAATATAAAAGACGGGTTCACGTCGGGTAAATAGACACCAAACATGTCAAGCGTAAAAATTGCGCGCACTCGCAAGCGGGGATTTCCCGCTCGGGCGGATGTAACATGACGTGTATACGCCCAGTTACATCCAAGAAGCTCCCGGCAGGCCGTGTATACACAGCGGCTGGCCGGGAGGTAGTTAAAGGCCAAATTAACTGAATCTTTGTTTCAGCACTCTAGGAGAGGACACACACCTAAATAACAGTAAAAATGCCAGGTTTTTGAGATTATGGTGTGGGGTTAATTTTCAGGGGTTCCAGTGAAGGGAAATTTTAAGGCATCAGCATACCAAGACATTTTGGACAATTTCATGCTCCCAACTTTGTGGGAACAGTTTGGGGATGGCCTTCCTGTTCCAACATGACTGCACACCAGTGCACAAAGCAAGGTCCAAAGCCATGGATGAGCGAGTTTGGGGTGAAGGAACATGACTGGTCTGCACAGAGTCCTGACCTCAACCCGATAGAATACCTATGGGATGAATTAGAACGGAGACTGTGACCCAGGCCTTCTCGTCCAACATCAGTACCTGACCTCACAGATGCGCTTCTGGAAGAATGGTCAAACATTCCCATAGACACACTCCTAACCCTTGCAGATGCCTTCCCGGAAGAGCTGAAGCTGTTATAGCTGCAAAGGGTGAGCCAACTCAATATTGAACCCTATGGACTTACACTAGGATTACATTAAAGTTCATGTGCATGTGTGTAAAAGACATGCGTCCCAATACTTTTGGCAATATAGTATATTACTATACAAACATCTATATCAGATAGCATTGCCAATACTTTGCACAAAAACTACCAGGGCACTTGCAAGAATGCTTGTAAAACAAACTAAAAATTATTTGACATACTCGTACATAAATAGTAGTCTATGCTTAGCGATTAAGAGCTAAAAAAGACCTAGGTTTGCTAGAATGAATGGTTTGCTAGATGGTTGGCATCTTCAGGCGGACAAACTGATAACCCTCGTTAGATATTTCTGATATAGTCAGTGCAACAACTTACCTTTATCAGATGCCCGAGAAGAAAATCCACTGGTTGTGGAAATGTTGTCATCATCATGTAAAGATGCAGAGTCCTTAATTTCCTTAACTAATGAAAAGCCAGAAGTAGAAGGCTGGCAATTAAGTGCTGGAGAGTCCAAAACAATGTTTAGATTGGCCCGATGTAGTGAAGGTCTTGTTAGTACATCCGGACTATTCATCATCACCTGATTTGTGGCTGGGTCTAGAGAAATTTACAGAAAATGTAAAAAAAAAAAAAAAAAACACTTCTATATATCGCAGACATTTTTGTTTTATTTACAGTATACCATTGCATACAATTTTGAGCTTGAAATTGGTCATATTATGCAGGGAAGCATAATCCAGGTGTAAATGTCATGGTGAAAGCCAACTATGTAGGCTAAATAAACTCCCTATTTCTTAAAAAGATATCCCTCATTGACAGAAATCCAGTACTGGGCATGTAGTACAGGAACTTGTGCTGCTCCAGTTCTTACAATTACTGGCTTATCTTAGCTATTAATGCCTCAAATCTAATTCAAGGACGTTGTACTCAAGCAAAAAGTCTAAAATCACTATCGAAAGGTAGAATTCAGTGGTAGCAGGCTTGATATACTGAAGTAGAAAAATGCATCTTTAAAAACATAGCGTGTACAATGTGCTCCTAGCCGCTCCAAAGCTGGGGTACAAGTTCATGCACAAAACATTAAAGCAGAGCAAAAGATTTTTTTTAGTTCTATCCTGCTAATCTTTTATAACCGGCACTCCAGCCAGACAAACAGCTAGATCCTGCGCTGCCCGGGAAATCTAGGCAGGCTAGTCAGATGCTGATCATGCCTTTGATCTGACACAAAAGGAGCAAAAGCACACCGATTAGATCTTCTCTCTGTAAGGCCCCTTTCACACAAACTGACCTGATCAGATGCACAATGCTAGTCTGTCAGTTTACATCATATTCTCCATAAACCGACATGGAGTGCGGTCACTTGAGATTATGGGGAAAAACTGGACCAACACGGAGGTCACAGCAGTGACATTCGATTCGTACCGCTCTGATTAGGAAGGGATTTGTGCCTGATCAGCCCGTGTGAAAGGGGCCTAAGTTCACAGTGCAGTAAAGCATGATTAACTTCCAGTGCATCATGCCTTCTCCAAGTTAAGAGTGTTGCTGTGTATAAGGGACTAAGGGTCTGTTCACACGACGTCCGTTTTTTGTGCTGACCTGATCCGTACGCTCCTGCACTAAAAATGCATCCCAATGTATCCCAATGTGTTTTATGGGCTACAGTTCTCAGGTGCGCAGTCCGTTCAGGTTACATCAGAAAAAATACTGCATGTCACATTTTATCCGGTCCGGAAACGTAAAATGCGTCAAAAACGGATCACAAAGGCACTGCAGCTAACATACTGACAGCCCCACGCCAGCTTAAAAAATAAATGGTTTAAACTGGAACGCATTAAAAACGCGGCAAAAAACACATAGCACCGCGTCTGCAGATCCGCACCTGAAACTCATCTGAACAGGCCCATAAGGAGGCAGTAACAGATCAGGTCAAAAAATAAAGGCATACAAAAATGTTGCCTTTTTAGATTGCAGTGAGTGAGGAGAGTAAAAAAAACAAACAACTCAAACCAAAAATAAAGTATCGCAAGCAGTAATGATATGGTGTGCAAAGAGTATTCATTTAATCCATTCAATAATATTTCAATTTATAACTACCAAGAAAGATTTATGTAGGAGGAGCAATGCACTGCAAGGGCATAAAACATGTTCACCAACAACTGGCTTTAGAAGCCAGAAGATGGCATCTGATCAAAGCCTGCGTCTAATATTCTGAGCTCTTGGGTACATATGTTTACATGTATTGTTTTAGCAGCAGTTCTAGCTCTGACCTTGTGTCCTGAGGAGAACAATTCTTCTCACCGTTGAACAGATAAGAGATGCAGAGTAGATTTGTTAGCAGCCTTTTTTTAAAAAGTTTGAAAAAAGAAGAGGGGGGGGGGGGGAAGGAAAACATTAACAATACTGTCCAACTGTAAACTGCACATATGCATTAAAGGTTGGATATCAAATCCGTTGAGTGCACATGTACCAGAGTCACAATTTAGCTCAAAATGTAATCTGCTCAGCATTTACCACATCAGATTATTAAGCACAATATAAATTGGTTGCAGTTGGCTTCTGCACTTATAAATTTTCCTAGCAAAATTGCAGGTTGGGGTTTCATAATTAAAGTATAAAGTATGCATAACTTACAGATTCTCACAGGTTACTAACATACCAAGGGTGGGAATGTTCTAAGGACATGATCATTCAGAGAATGACTTCGAGAATTTAAGCACAACGGCTTGCGTTAAGGCCACAATAGAGGTTGAGTTAAAGCGAACATGAATCAGGGGTATAAGCAATAAAGAAATTGCAACTTACAGCCCACAATGCAGTGCTCCACATAGGAACCTGCATACTGTGTACACCACAGGTTCAGGGGGTACTGTAATACAGAAGTCATTTTGACAGGTTGGCAGTATGTGCAGTTAACCTGTGGTACCTCCCATCACAGTTATTTCAGTTTAAAAACACTAGGTAAAGCATTTATTCAAGGGTTTAGCAGTATTGTATGTGTAATACAAACTCACCAGACTGGATCTTAACAGGTTCTGGGGCAGCCCTGCCAAAAAGTGGCAGCCTCTCCTGATCTGCAAAATGGTCATTTTCTACATCATTCTGTATGTCCACATGCTCCTCGGGTTCATTTGTGTGTGGAGAAACCTCATGAGCCTCATCCACGTTGTTAAAATATTTTTGCAACCAAACTGGAACTATGCTCTTCACAGTATCCTTAACACGACCAATGATACCCTGTGAGTTGAGAGAAAGAAGGGAAAATTAAATTTTCTGTCTGAGGATATCCTTACAAAAAATATTTTCATGAAATGCAGACGGATAAGAGAACATTACAATAGTTTTATTAGGATTAATAAAGAATTCAATAAAAAGCTGGACTGCATAAGTACACTTATAAAACCTTTTTGCATGCCACTCTACGATATTTGAAAACACAACTTACAAGTGGCTAAATGTAGAAACTATTAGGGCTGCAGCTAACGATTATTTTCAAAATCGGTTAGCCGATCAAGAGCGGTTAACCAGATTAAAAAAAAATAAAAGGCTCCAGTGATTGACTACTAGTTTGTACTGAGATTGTAGTACATCACGGGAGCAAGCTTGGTGCGGTGGAAGTAAAAAAAAAAGTTTGGTGTGCAATATAGTACATTATACAGCGTCGCAATGCAGAATACCAGCAGCTATAGAGGAATACCCTGGACGGCAGAGCGGACAGCTGCAGCCAAGCCAGGTAAGACATCCCCCGAAAGACCTAGTGTCTTTTTTCGTAGAAAAAAAAATATAAGACGCTCTTATTTTCGGGGAAACACGATACTTACCTTTCGGCGAACGGTCCTTCCCGTCCACCAGTATGGGTGTACTATCTGTACCTGTTCCATGTAGTCTGAATTTCGCTCGCATATTGCAAGCACTCGCGGCCACCTGACGGCACTGACCGATGAGAAGCGCTTCTTAGCACTACTAAATACGGTTTTGGTTAAAATTATTTTATTTGTATCAGGACAAGTAGATTGTCATGAGGGACAAGTAGATTCGGTCCCCGCTTTAGTCCTTGGACAAGTAATGTTTTAAAAAATTTCCCCACCCCCGATAAATGAAGTACCCTGCTATTTTTTAAAATATGCAGCTTATGAATCAGAGTTCATTGAAGGACACAGGATCAGTAGAATTTAGAACAATGGGTTATATTCTTGTAAGCCCTCACAGGCAGCGCCCTCACCATTGTGTCTTGAATTGTATTGTAATTATAAATGTCTTCCCTATATCATAAAGCGCTGCGCAAACTGTTGACGCTATGTAAATCCATAATAATAATAATAATAATAAGGGATGCACCAATATATCGGCCGCGGAAACATATCGCCTGAAAATGGCACTTTTGGCATAATGCCGAAAGAGCCATGTTTCAGCCGATACATCGGCGCATCCCTGGTTTCTTTTCTCCCCGCTGGGCGCTGCTCTGTGTTCCAGCGGTGAGAAAAGAAAGTGACAGCCGGCCGAGCGTTGCAGGACAGGAGCGCTGTGAGCGGCTGGCGTCTCTCCTCCCACACCGCTCAGCCGCCTATCACAGTCCGGCAGAGCGGTGTGTGGGTGGAGACAGCCAGCGTATAGTAAACATACTCTGTCCTCATGTTATCAATGAACAGGAACACTCATTCCTGTTCATTGATAACAGGGGATACAGGACTGTGTGTCCTAAATCTCTTTTTCTATTTTAAAAAGGGAAACATCAGGGGTCTGTTTAGACCCCCAATATTTCACCAAAGCCCTTAAAAGCAATGTAAAAAATAGAAAATGAATATAAAAAAAATAAAATAAAAAACATTTTCGGTATCGGCATGACTTTTTTATTTCGTTTTTTTTAAATTTCCATTTCGGTGCACCTCTAATAATAATAAATAATTGGACACTGTAAAACAAAAGCTGTGACCATCCAGGTCTAACCCCTACCACGGTGCTTCAGTTTTGTGGGAAACCAGTACTAGATGTGGAGCATTAACCAGAGGGGTGGGACCTATGTCACTTGATGAACTGCAAGAGAAGGATTTTGCAGCAAGTACAAAAACCCTGTTTTCTTAATCATTAATCAAGGACGACGGGATAAGTAGAATTTAGAAACATTGGGATGTCCCCAAGCAGTCCAACTGAGGGGGAGGGCAACACAATGCCAACAGCCGATTAAAAAAAGTGTAAAAAAGAAAAAAAGCCAATTTTTGATCAAGGCCACACTGTAGATAGGGGAGCATCCATCCGAGTATTTTCTAAGATACAACTCAGTGGCCTCAGACCAGGTTTTCCCTATGTAATGGTAAAGTTTGCGTGACATGGAATTCCCAGATTTTAAGAGTGTATTATCCCTGTCCCTTAGGACCTGATCATCAACAACCATGCCATCAATGCCAGCGACTGAAACAGAGTGGTAAACTGGCCCTTGGCACAAAGCATCAAGGCAGTCTGGGAGAGCCTGTGGGATGTCTGTCAGGAGTCTGAGGAGGTCTGAGTATCAAAGCTTCATGAGCCAATTCAGGGCAATGAGAATCACTGGAATGCCTTTCATCTTGATTCCCTGTAGTAGATAGGGAAGACTTCTCAGAGGTTATCACTGCTGACAGATCCTGGAACACCTCTGGATGAAGAGACTATCTTAGCAATAATTTACTTCTTAGTAGTTGATGTATGCCACAGTCTTAGCATTACTTGACTGAATCCAGAAATCCACACTGAAATGGAAAAGCTGATCGCAAAAGTGCTCCAAAAAGGTTGATGGAAAGATGAGCTTCTATTGGCGACAAAGTCGCATGCACTATCAGGGTGTCTAGGATAGGGCTGCAACAACTAATCGACATAATCGATTATAATCGATTATTGAAAAAGTTGTCAAGATATCTAAAAAGAGGGGGGACCTAGCCAGAGAGAGGGTGGCAAGGTCAAGCGGTCATTGGTGGAACGGGACGGACTGAATTACGCGTGATTTCGTTAAAAGGTATTTATTGGTACAAAAATATCAAAAAGGAAAAAATCTATGAACACCATCAATTCACTACTAGCAGGTTAAAATTAACACACACTGTCTGCAGACTTCAAACATACTCTGGTTGGAGGGGTTAACCACATATAAGTGTATCTCAACAAAGACAGCACAGTTGGGCTAATGAATGACCATCTGGTCAGAAAGGGCATTACTCAGTAACAAAACTCGATAGTAGAAAAGTGATGTCACGAAACAAAGAGGAAAAAAAATTGTATAAAAAAATTGTGCACTTTATGACAGATCAGTTCCGAAAAGGCAGATTGATTGTCTCTCAGTATATGGGAACCCGCATTGGGCAACTGTCCGCGCTCATAGCTTCTCTATGGTACTAGTCCTCAAATCTTTGGTGCAGACAGGTTAGTTAGGAGTATTCCTGTATATTTGTTGGGAACCGGTGTTTAGAAACGAGTACAGACTCCTATACTCAATGTTGGGTCCAGTGTGATTTCTAGAGGGGTATAGGACTATTCACGTCTCACGGGGTACAACAGCCATTTTTAACGTTTGTATTTTAATGGCAGTGGTTAATCCTGATATCTGCAATTTGACGTTGTTAACGGCGATGTCACCGGAGGGTGATGTGATGTAAATTACAGGGGTTACATGTTGTAGTGCAGATGAAACAAACACTGCAGTGTATCTCAAAAAAGTTTTTCTTTACTCACGTGAGTTGTTTGATCGTGGCAGCTATGTAACTTTCTCTAGACATGATCACATCGTGTCCATATAGAAGAGAGTTCTTAGTTGTGGGCACTTCCTTGCTTCGATCTGGCAATCTTTTGGGTTTGTTCCGAGTAGGATAGTCCGCTTTTGTATTGATGAGTTTAAATCAGAGTAAAGATAAGCGTGGTTGTCCAACACGACATTCAAACAAGGTAGAGCTGCGTCTACGCGTTTTGCCCCTCCCACATTGGGGTAGTACCATAGAGAAGCTATGAGCACGGACAGTTACCCAATGCGGGTTCCCATATACTGAGAGACAATCAATCTGCCTTTCGGAACTGATCTGTTATAAAGTGCACGATTTTTTAAAACTATTTTTTCCTCTTTGTTTCGTGACATCACCTTTCTACTATCGAGTTTTGTAACTGGGTAATGCCATTTCTGACCAGATGGTCATTCATTAGCCCAACTGTGCTGTCTTTGATGATACACTTATACTACATGTGGTTAACCCCTCCAACCAGAGTATGTTTGAAGTCTGCAGACAGTGTGTGTTAATTTTGACATGCTGGTAGTGAATTGATGGTGTTCATAGATTTTTTCCTTTTGATATTTTTGTACCAATAAATACCTTTTAACTTGCCAAATTTCACACACAGAGATATGCACTTAGAAACACAATCCCACAAACACACACACACACACACAAATAGCCCCCATTCACACATGCAAGTTTAGGTGCGACTAGGGATTCCTGCGTTTTCCTGCAGCAGGAATCCCTAATATGATGTTTACAAGCGGGAGCTGTCACCCGTTCAAGTTCACAAGCAGGTTACTGCCGCTGCATGTAAACACCCACACACTGCAGGTAATTGTATGTAGAGCTGCAACAGTTAATTGATTTAGTCGATTAAAATCGACGATTGAAAACGTTGGCAACGTTTTCGATCGTCGATTCGTCGGCTATCGATTGATTTGCCTGTTCGGGGCTGTTCCGAGCTCCACATGCGGCCTGAGCCACACGTCACACGCTGCTCCCGC